GACATTCACAATCCCTTGAACTGCTTCACCCAGACTTCAGCCCCTAGGTACAAATGAGATCTGGGATTCATTTGTCTTTTGCATTACCCTGCCCAGCAATTTCCTTCTTTTGTCTGAAGATGAACTATTTTGCAAGATTTCTGACCTTATCATATAAGGAAGTTCCTTCCACCCAGCTTTGACAACACAGGATCAACAACTCACACCGTAGTTGCTAATAGTTCCACATAAGGCATTTTAGTCGTTCACGCAAACTAAGCAGCATTGCGGAGAGGGAGGAGTTTTAGGATATGAGTCTTCCTGAGTTGAGACTTGCCCACTGGCTGCCTCAAGTATACTTTGTTCCATTGAATGTTTGCAGTCACAGAGAGAACTTAGAGTTATGTGACACTCAAAGGAAAAGCAAAAGACCATTAAGAAGTGTCTGTTTTTGTTATTGCCATTTCATAAATATTTTAGTAGGTGTTCAATTTCATTGGATATTCTTTTGTTTTTTTCAATTGTCTTTGTACCTATGATTGAAAACGGTAGTTGGTCTATGACTTTTGAGGAGGTAAGTTTTTTTTTTAATCTATGTATGTCTGTAACATCAGTGTCTGTGTCTTTGAAAAATGCAGTATCCTCCTCCCAAAAGTTACTAATCAAACTTTCCCAGCTGTACATCTCCTATCCATGAGGAGAGAAAGTATGAGGACAGTTGTTATCTGCTTTTTATTCAAATGGTGTCAGCTGTTATGAGATGGGGGCGTATATGTGTCAGATGGTGTGATGTGAGTTTTAAGAGTTATGTAAGCAGTGTCTCCTGTAATCTTTTCTGAAAGGCAAGAGGGAACCAATCTGCCTGTTTTGAGCATTCGGCATGTCTGCTTGTGCAAACTTATAGCATGTGAATTTCTCTGGGCTGACTGAAGTTATTGGGGGTGACTTTAAGTCTGTCTCCCCTGGACAAACCTTGTCAACATTTCAAAATAAACCAAGCAGGGTTACTACCTTTCCCAAGTCCATGAAAACCAAACTATCTTCTCCATTCTAGTATACAGGCAAACTTTTTCTGGAATCAGTTAGTTTGAAAACAGTTTTGGCTCCTTGAGAAGAACTAGAAAAGACAGCCAAGTAATATAAGCTCTGTTTAACCCTCAGTAGGTAAGTGTGGCAAGTTCTTTGTCGAAAATCTCCATCTCAGTAGCAGGGTCTCACTGCTCAGTAGCATTCAGTGGCTTTGGAGGACTCATGAGGACACCCCTGGGTTCATACTTTGGAGGACGATACTGCATTTTTGGCCCTGTAGCTTGCTTTCCCTCTTGTCTGTGAGTGCAGAGCAGGAGTCTGACACTTCCCACTGTACTGCTTGCTTTGCAGACACTGAATTGAAGCTTCTTGCTAAAGCAAAAGCCAGTAGGCGTGCCCTCTAGGCTATTTTGCTTTGCAGGGACCCTGAGACACTGTTTCCCCCAAATCTTTTCCCACCCTTGCCCTTACCCCTTTAGCTGTGTGTCTGTAAGGAAGGGTTTCATTGCAACAGTCATTGTAATGAGAAGTTACTAGTCAGAACTTCAGCTGAACTCACACCTTTTTCTTATATAACAGATAATCCGTCAGACATGTATCTCTTATCAACAGTGAAATAGCTACCTGGTATGATTTCTAAATACTTGAACAGAGTACTTTTCCACGAACACCCTACGACTTTACCTGGAGGTTACTTCAACTCAATTCTAAGCATATAACTGTAACCTGAAAAACTGGTAGTGGCAATATTTTCACTTGTGCCCAATGAGCGTAATGGACATAATAGTTGAGGGAGCTTTTTGTACTTGGGGGCTCCACAAGTACAATTTCAACAGCAATAGGACACTTAACTCAGGAATAGCTGTTGAAGTAGCCTTATCCTAGTTTCTTGAAGAGATGTATGAAAAAATGAGAAAAATCTCTTCCCTGCGTAAGCGGCCTGCATTGTGAAATAAGTCATGTTGAAATTGTGCTGGTATTGTTACTCTTTCCTGGCTAGGAGGAAATTTGTTGAAAAAGTTTATCTTTTTTTTAATCTACATTTTCTACAAGAAATGAAAAGGAGTAATAGATATATCAGAAATAAAGTCTAACTCTCCAGCCCCTGCTAGAAATCGTGTTACTTAGGCAAAGATTGAAAGATTCCACTGTAGAAGCTCTGGCTTTTTAGAAATCTGTTTTTTAGTCTCCACATTTATCATTCTTCTGTGGGAGGGTGGCACTTCTGTAGACTGGGGGAACAGACAGAATCTGATGAGTACAAGTTGCCCCTACAAGAGCACACACAGTCTTCTCAGGAACATCTGGGGAAAGAGTTCCTAGCAAGGCAGCACTTCTGAGGGGTTACATTATAAATCTTGGTCAAAAAGGAGGATTCAGTATGGTTTTGTGTAGAATATGACCTTCTAACAGAAGCGGACTTGACTATTTCTTTCTCATTTTGGCATTTTATCCCTTCCAATGGAATTAAAATCCTGACTTGCTTTTTTTCTCAATAAAACTATTTTTAAATCCTATTGCAAATATATATTCATTATAGAAAATTTAAAAACATTTTTAAAAGGACAAGGACGACAATAAAAAAATTCACTACCTAAAGTTAATATCTATTTATATATTGTTATATAATGAGGTTCTCCAGTTATTTTTTATTTATTTTTCCTACAAGGCAGCATAAGCATTTCCTGTTATTGGATTTTTTTTTTTTTTTTTTT